TGAAGCTATTTAGATATTTTTGTGGTACAAACTCTCTTGGATACCCAATATAAACACACAGTGGTCAAGTATATTTTTATATCAATTAAATTTGTAGTATATATTCTTAATGTTTTTATAGCAACGACGAAAACCACCAACGATACTCGACGAACATTTCATGTAAGACAGTATACCCGTTCACGAAAACAACAACAACTGTCGTCATGGCCTTAGCAGGAGGTCTTAATAATCAAATATCACAGGAAAGAAACTTCTTTCGTCTTATATCACAAAAGCATCACTTAAAATAATTAGTGGAAAATGAAAACATGTACATGGATAACATCAAATCTCAACACCACATTGTCAACCAGTTCCATCAATGATCTGTGTTCACATCAAGGATATACCAGTTCCATCAATGATCTGTATTCACATCAAGGATATACCAGTTCCATCAATGATCTGTATTCACATCAAGGATATACCAGTTCCATCAATGATCTGTGTTCACATCAAGGATATACCAGGTCCATTAATGATCTGTATTCACATCAAGGATATACCAGTTCCATCAATGATCTGTGTTCACATCAAGGATATACCAGGTCCATTAATGATCTGTATTCACATCAAGGATATACCAGTTCCATTAATGATCTGTATTCACATCAAGGATATTCCACTTCCATTAATGATCTGTATTCACATCAAGGATATACCAGTTCCATCAATGATCTGTGTTCACATCAAGGATATACCAGGTCCATTAATGATCTGTATTCACATCAAAGATATACTACTTCCATTAATGATCTGTATTCACATCAAGGATATTCCACTTCCATTAATGATCTGTGTTCACATCTAGGATATACTACCTCGCGTATCATGATTAGTTAAATGTATCCCGCTAAAAATAACACCTACTGGTGTAGCGCTACCTGAGCTACACAATGCATGCTTTATTTTATATACCTTAAAACGTTTAACACAATTTAAAATTTCCTTTCATAATTTATTTTTTTACTTGTCACGTGGTGTAGAACTGTTAATCACAAGGAGGAACTTCTCTCTGTTGAGGGGGGGGGGGGGGGGGGGGGGGGGCGCCAAATATCATACGAAATACTTCTTCACAACTTTACATAATACAGACTTATGTTCAGTTCGTCAAAGTACTCTCTCCATCACACAGTTTTAATAGTTTCAGTTGTTTCTAAGATAAATGTTTATTTAGCCTTTATCACTATTAAACAATTCAACTTCTTTACTAATCATGCATTTAAAGTGTTTGCAAAATATATGTTTTTAAACTCCAATCTAATTACACGTAGACAAGTATTTCAGTAGAAATCACTAAGCCAGGATTATGTAAGTAAAACCTGGATATAATGCACTTGGTTTTGTTAGGCATCTCGCTCATTATCAATATATTTCAAGGTCCCCTCTTTAAGCCTTTCATCTACAGAATGCCAGACCCGATTATAACCATTGGAGTTTGACGATTATGGACTGAACAATGATAGCGGTGTATAGAGGTTTACTGAACATGTCAAATCTTCTAAACAAATTTCCTTCAGCTCAAAAATGTTGCAATTCATATAATTTTAAAATCATTAATTAGTTATTGACAATACACAGTGACACTCTTAATTAATTGATGAATATATTCTTCAGTGTCCACTAAACACTACATGAGCTGACAACACAACATTCGGGTATAAGTCGTGTTACCAGAACATGACCACTGATAAGAATTGATATATTTAGGGATGTGATTAAGGATTGGCAAAAAAAAGGAGGAAATCAATTAGAAAATGGAGGACTACATCTCACTCTTTTAGAAACTGAACTGTTTTAATGTTTCAAAACAAACAAAGATTTTTTTCAAATTATGTTAAGGGGGGATATTCTGAAAAGTAAAATCACGTCCCTGCGCGTTCTACATCATTCTATAACAGTGGTTTATAATCAAATACAGGATTAATATTGTAATATAAATGAGATTGCATATACAGGTGATAACTTTAGGTTTGATAAAACTTCGAGTTTCGAAATATGTGAATAGGAATTTACGTTTTATTTTGGACAATTCGGCAAAAAAAACAAGTAAACTGTGACATTTACTGTACATGTATATTGGTAGTGTAGCCTTTTGGAGGTCTATATAACACTAACACAACAACAGTGTTTCATAAGTATGGCACATGCATTTAGAGCTGAAATAACAATCGATTCAAGAACAATGTCGGGTCAACACAACAAGTGCTTACTATGTATGAGATAGCATATCAACTTGGAATACAGATTCTATCTGATGTCCATATTAACGATTGAACACATATAGAGGAAAACGTTCTTACTGTTAAACAAACATCCGGATAAGACAAAGAATGACACATTTTATGTTTGTCAAAGATATTCCACGACACTTAGAGGGTGGAGTAATAATAATAACTTGTCTACAGTTGAAGGCGAATTCCGCACTTAATATTATAGGGACAATAACTTTCTCGTGGGAATTTATACGAGTACTGCATTCAGAGGAAACAGACTTCATTTAATAGTTGTATAATTGATACCATATTAAAATTTAATCTTTTTTAAATATGTGCATAATTATTAGGTTGATTTCCTTGTGTTGCATATTATGTTAAGTGTTCCCAGTTTTGATAGAGGATATTAAATGGTTACACGTTGAATACGAAATATATTTCAACAGTACATAAGAATATAGATTCGTTTCATTAGTGGGAACAAGAGTGAAACATAATGGTATGTTCTGTCAGGAGTGAAACATATTGGTATGTTCTGTCAGGAGTGAAACATATTGGTATGTTCTGTCAGGAGTGAAACATATTGGTATGTTCTGTCAGGAGTGAAACATATTGGTATGTTCTGTCAGGAGTGAAACATATTGGTATGTTCTGTCAGGAGTGAAACATATTGGTATGTTCTGTCAGGAGTGAAACATATTGGTATGTTCTGTCAGGAGTGAAACATATTGGTATGTTCTGTCAGGAGTGAAACATATTGGTATGTTCTGTCAGGAGTGAAACATATTGGTATGTTCTGTCAGGAGTGAAACATATTGGTATGTTCTGTCAGGAGTGAAACATATTGGTATGTTCTGTCAGGAGTGAAACATATTGGTATGTTCTGTCAGGAGTGAAACATATTGGTATGTTCTGTCAGGAGTGAAACATATTGGTATGTTCTGTCAGGAGTGAAACATATTGGTATGTTCTGTCAGGAGTGAAACATATTGGTATGTTCTGTCAGGAGTGAAACATATTGGTATGTTCTGTCAGGAGTGAAACATATTGGTATGTTCTGTCAGGAGTGAAACATATTGGTATGTTCTGTCAGGAGTGAAACATATTGGTATGTTCTGTCAGGAGTGAAACATATTGGTATGTTCTGTCAGGAGTGAAACATATTGGTATGTTCTGTCAGGAGTGAAACATATTGGTATGTTCTGTCAGGAGTGAAACATATTGGTATGTTCTGTCAGGAGTGAAACATATTGGTATGTTCTGTCAGGAGTGAAACATATTGGTATGTTCTGTCTGGAGTGAAACATACTGGTTTATTCTGTCAGGAGTGAAACATATTGGTATATTCTGTCAGGAGTGAAACATATTGGTATGTTCTGTCATGAGTGAAATATAAATATGGTATTCAACAGATTATTATTTATTATCTATTTTTACATCTTCTACGACGAAAATGTCACTGCATTTAAACGATGGGGAATTAATTATAGAGTAATCTTTTTGCACCTTAATCTAATGATGTACACACACAGGCTTGACAGCTGGGCTGCGTGCCATTTTCAATAGGTTTCTTAACGCAATTCTAAAGTCTTTGGCAGTTCCAAAAGTCCCAAACCGAACCCTTCAGTCGTAACATGTGTTGATAAATAATGCATTTACGTATTACATTGTTTTATCGTGTTTTGACAAATAATGCATTTACGTATTACATTGTTTTATCGTGTGTTGACAAATAGTGCATTATCATATAACATTATGTTTATAACG